CGGCCCGCGCCCGCACTCGGGGCCCTGCAGGCAGCTCAGGGGCCGGCTCAGGGCCTGCGCCAGCTCGGCCGCGCCGGCACCGGGGCCCGGGCCCTCGCCCGCCGCCGCCATGGCGCCGTTGCCAGGGACGCGCGCCCCACCGCGCATGCTCGGCGCCGCTTTACGGCGGCTGGGCCGCGCTCTGCGGGCGGGCGCCGCGCTCCCGCACGGAACTGGGAGGGGGAAGAGGCGTTAAACGTTCAGTGGGTGCCTCGGTGGTGGGTGTAGGGAGAGAGCTGCCCTGCTGGGAGCACGGACACCCGGGGAGGGGATGTGACAGGGCACCAGCGTGCAGAGTTGGCCCTAAAGTCTTGTATGCTGTGCTTTTACACTTGTGCCTCTGAGTAAGGAAGACCTGTCTTAGTGCTCTGGGAAGCTTTTCCCAAAGCTTCCTAGAGAATAGTGATTTTCTCATTCACTCTTTGTAATTCAGTATATACTGACTTGCTGCCTCGCCTGCTAAAGCTCTTGGAGAGGAGCAGCAGAACCACTGGAAGGGGTCCTCTTTCCGTGTCCTTGTTTAATGAGCAACTTTCTTATCGATAGAGGAAGGCAAAGATAGGCAAGTCAAGGAAGTAAAACACAGCTTGGAACAGACCAAAAAGGCATCTGGAGAGGATATGCTGGAAGTAAGCACCAACACAGGGTCACCTGAGTATTCACTAGTGATCATTAGCTTAGAATGCAGTAAATTACAGGGGTGAATTCAAATTAGTCTTTTAAATAAGGTTGTATTTGCCAAGAGTGAGTTTTTACTATCGCTACGTGCTCCTAGCTTTTCAGGAAAGCTGTGGGAATGCCTTGCATTGTAGCCCACGGAGTCCAGGCATCCTAACACTTTCCCCCTGCCCCGTATCCTCCTCTGAATGGGAAAAATCAACGAGATCCAGTGGGAGCGGGATAAAGGGGGAGACAGGGCGAAGGGAGAAGGTCGAGCGCGCAGGGCCGCGCGCTGCTCCGCCGCCATGTCGCGGCGGCGCGGCCGCCATGTCGCGGCCAAGCCGGGCCGCGCCGCTTCCCTCAGGAGGCGGCGGGGAGGCAGCGCCCGCGGCCGCGTGACGGCGGCCGCCCCTTCCTGCCGGGCCGCCGCTTCGTGCGGGAGCTGCGGGCGCCAAGGGGCCGCGCGGCGACCCCGGCGCGGCCAGAGAGGCAGCGGCGGCAGCGAGGGGAGGAGGCGGCTGCACCGCGGATCCCTGAGCGCCGTTTGCTTCATTCCTTCCCTCCTTCCGTGCATCGAGAGGCCGCCGCTGCTCTGCCGGCTCCCCAGACGCAGGTATTTATCCGGTACCCGCCTCCCCCTCGGCCCCCCGAGGCGAGCCCGCTCCCCTCCGCCGCTTGGGCGGCCCGCGCTCCCTCCCCGCCGCGGCCGCCGCTCAGCCGGGCGCGGAGCCCGGCCAGGCACCGTCCGCCGCCGCGGGGACACCCTGGGGAGCCCCCAGCCTGGGGGAACCGGGAGCAGCAGCAGCAGTAGCGGGGGGATCTCCCCGGGCCGCCCGCGGGATGCGGGGTCTCCCCCGGCCGTCCCGCCGTGTGGCCGGCGCTCGAGACCCGCAGCGCGGGGAGCGCGTCCCGGGGCCGCCCTGACGGGGAAGGAGGCAGGAGCCTTGGGCCGCCCGAAATGACCGCGGTAAAACTTCCCCGCACGGAAAATCTTTCCGTTCCTGGTGAAAGGGAGCCAGCCTGCAGCCGCAGAGGGAAATGCAAGGCTTTGAACTATCATTTAGCGCCCATCTCTGATGCGCAGGGTTTTGTGTAATTAATCGATTGTGCTGTTATTTCCAAAGGTTGATGAGTGTCTAGGGATGGAAATGCTCCATTTGCTCATCTTCCTGTGCTCATTGTGTAAAGATGACACAGTTCTGTAGTTCCATGTTTGAATCCCAAAATGTTAAAATGATCTGATGTCTCTCAAAGAGCCAACTAACGCTATTAAAATAACGCGTTTCTTTAAGTTCCTTGACAGCAGTTTTGAGAATTGTCTTATTTCTCATTCTCTCTCCTTTTTTTTTTCTTTTCATTCTTCACCATTTTCTTACCGAGGTTTGTTTTCTGTTTACAAGCCTGAAGATGGCTGCTGCTTCTTCCTGCAATGTGGAAGAAGACGAGAGCCTGAAAGGATGTGAACTTTATGTTCAGAAGCACAACATCCAGCAGATCTTGAAAGAGTGCATTGTAAACCTTTGCATAGCAAAGCCAGACCGACCCATGAAATTCCTCAGAGAACACTTTGAAAAATTAGAAAAGGTTAGTGATTTTCCAGATGACTGAAAATTTTGAAGTATTACACGGAGAAAATGATTCTTAAAGACTTTGAATATGGTATGTTTTTCTTTAAATTAGCAAGCAAACTACTTTTTAAAAGCAGAGTTTCTCAGGAAAAAAAACATTTTTATTGCTGAAGTGTACTATAATATTGGTTATTATATGGTATCTTGTGCATAACACAAGGATCATAATCTGTCATTAGACTGCATTTGTTAAAAACAACCAGAAGAGTTAAAAGCATATTTTGCATTATGGTACATAGTGTCATAATTATTATGATGTTATGATACATAATGAGCACTATTCTACAGGAAGAAACTGATTGCAGGAAGAAAAGATGCCGTTTCCTTTTCAATGTCAGGTGATGCAGTTTTCCCTTGTCCCAGGTTCTGAAAACCACTGTCACAGTTTACCACTTGGTTTTATTAGCCTTACCTCTCTGTGTTGCATATCCCAGGTTCCTCCAATGAGAGCGATTTGGACAGACTTCATGTGCCATAATTGTCTTAAAAAGCAGTATAGGGGAGAAAATATGTTTTAAAACGTTTTCTGCCCATTCCTCACCAAAATGTAGTGGTGTCTTTTTTTGAAATGAGCTGTACATGAACATGTTGCATGGCCCAAATGTGCTCTGGGGACAGGATTCCCCAGAGGTGTAAATATTGTGCATGGGGCTGCAATTTATTAGTTACACATGTCCTCTGTGACTGATAGACTAAGTCTAAACAGAGATTTTATTCACATGCTAAGAGCAGAATTGTAAAGGAAGCATCTGAAGTTTGGTTAAAATTCAGATCAGTTTAAGACCTGAGTTTCATGTAGTTTGAGTATTTTTCTTTTAAAGTTAGAATTTTGTAAGGATAGAACATGAACAATAATAGTTAGCTAATGCTACATGAAGATGATATACTGCAGGTGCTATTGGTATTTTGTACACCTCGTTGCTTTTCAGATACATTTTTATATAGGATAGCGTAGGCCAAATTTATTTAAGTAGGAAAATGCAAACATTATATTCGGGTGGAGTCTCAGAAAGGAAATCCCGTTTTCAGTGAGTATGATTTGTAGTCAGTGAGTTTTCATAGGCAACTTGCAGAATCAAGATTTAATTGCTCAAATGTGGGGGATTCCTCCATTTTGATTGGCTTATAAAGGTAGAAGAAATAAAGATAGAAAAATTACAGGTAAAGTGTTACATTTTTCAGCTATATTGAGTCTGAGAAACTTTCCTTGGTGTCCATTTATTTAGTATGTTGATCATGTAATCAAAGGTGGAGTTGTCTTGCCAAGGTAAGCTATACCTCTGAAAAGAGCTATACCTCAGAAAAATGATCCATTAATAAAGAGTAAAACTAATGAAGAAAATAACACAAAAAAGGAATAAGGAGCAGAAACTTAGAGCATATCTTTAGGCATTACTTAGTCTTTTGCTTAAGTTATTTTGCATATACAGTATTTTGGTGCAGTGGCTGAACCAGGTTGTCTGCTCTACCTTTTGGTCTTAGTACTCACCTCTGTTCTCTTTTCCCACGCACATAAAAGAATAGTGGTGCTTTCCTGTGCTATTGAATAATATCATGGATTGCTGTGGACTGGCAGTGGTTTTATGGATTCATGCTGATGCCGCAATCTCGAGGTGCCATCCAGAAAGTTTTAAAAAATGTTGACTTTACTGGTTGTAATTAAAGAGAGCAAAATGAGATGTTTTGGGTAGCTCCACCTCATGACATGAGACAGTATTGCACATAGACCTCATCTGCAGAAAAATCAAGTCATGTTTATTACAGCTTTGCTCTAAGCCAGGAAGTTAGTGTTCATTCACAACTAGCTAAGTATAGTGTAGAGCCAAAGCTATTTGAATATCAGGCTTTTCTGAAAAAAAAGTCTCTTACAGTAATTACATTTTATCAGAAAAAGACAGTTTTCAATCAGTAACAATCAGTGACTGTAATGTGTGTGCCTTCTGGAGTAAGTATAATTCTTTCCTTTAAGATAAGCTAGGGAGAATTGCAGTTTGGAAGAGAACCTACAGAGAAAAAGCTATCTAAAAACTGCATTTAACATGCCAGTATGATAAAGATAGATATAGAAATATTTTTCATATTATTTAAAGCCTGAAAGGCAGCTGTGTGGTGTCTGTTCTGTGGTCAGAAATATTGCTATGTGTGAACGTACCTGAGCTACCTGAGATGCTGATAACAGGAAGCACCAGCTGCTCTTGCTGGGTGACCATAGTTTTGAAAAACAATGAAAAGAAAGCAAGTTTTCCTAAAAAAAATAGTTACAATTGAAACCTTGCTCGTAAGAGCTTGGGTAGACACCTTTGAGAGTCATTGAACTTCCTCTTTGCTTTGTATGTCCCCAAGTGGATATAGTTTTCCACTTCTTAGAGTTCAAAACTGACACAAAAAAAGGGGTGCAGTGATGGAATTTGAAGGCAATTCATTAACTTTCTTCCCTGAGTCTGTCTAGATGTAGTCTTAGTTTCTCGTTTCAAGTTATCATGTTTTGCACTCATCAGCATGTTTATTCACATGTTAATCTTTAAGTATATAAGTGGCTTTAAATAAACAGCTCCATGCTTAGCTTTAACATATGAAAGAAGTGCCTTGTCAAATTGGTGTAAATTTAAAAGTCAAACTGGATCAGTCACTATCTAATGAAAAAAAGTCACTAAACCATAATCAGCTTTGAGAAATCTTGTTTAAAACCATGTATCTCTTGAGAGGAACAGTCTGTTATGTTAGGCCCAAATCAATTCATGAACAGTGCTTGCATTTCTCTCTTTCAGAAGTGGCCTGCGGTTGTATTAACACTTGCTTTGTTCAGGATCTTGCTATTAATATATTATTTGAAGTGAAAACCTATTTCTATTAGAACCTATTTGATTTCCTAATAGAAAAGTGGTAATTTGAGTATCATATTGATAGCAGAAATATTTGTATGCCCCTGTGTAAAGCTATAGAATACCACTTGTGTAATTTGTGTAGTTTAGTCACCTTACTTCAGAGATAGAACAGATATATAGAAGGATGACAGAGCTGCTGTGCAAGGAGAGACTAGATCAACTGAGACTATTTATAAAAAAAGAAAAAGAGCATTAATGGAATGTGGGTAGAGATGTGCAAAAACAGGGAATAATTTACTCCCTTTGTCTTTTGGCCACAACCTGTTGAAATCAATAGACTTCAATCAAAAAGGAACCATGGAGAAAAAAAAAAAGGGGGAGCATGAAGAAGGTGCGTTCAGGTGCATTAGATTTGCAGAGCTCCCTTTTACTCTGCATAGTAGTGGGTCCTCTGCTGAGGTCTGGGACTCCATGACTCCCTGCCTGACAGCCTGTGTTGGAGCTGTACCCCAAGGGCTGTGTGGGCTTCGGTTGTTGAGCTGCTGATCTGTAACTCTCAGGGAAGTTGTCCTGCCAGCTCCTATTCACCGGGAACTGAGGAAGTTAGCTCTGGGAGACTGGGAAACTTCCTCTGTATATGCCTTAATTTTGATGTATTGAAAGTTACGATAAAATATTTAATGTGCTTGTTGCATCCCACCCAAAGGTTAGGCTGAAACCCAGATTTCTGTGTGAGCAAGCAACTCAAGCTACTCCTTAGCCCTGATAACACTATATCAGTCAAAGCACTTGTAACACATGGCAGAAGTTATTTTGGGTTTTGAAAACAACTGTCTTCCCTATAACAATGAAATGTGAGTGGAGAGGAGGAGGAGGAGGATAGATAACAAAAGAGAAGATTTTTACTTTCTTTCTTAGAATAGAGAATCAATGGAATAGATTATTTTCAAGGAGTGGGAAAGGTAGAGATGTTTTAAAGCCAAATTTACACTCTGAAGTGACGTAGGGAACATATCCTTGCCTTCAAAAGCACTTTTGATTGAAGGATATCACCATGTTTCTAAACTTTAAGGAAGCCTCCACAATAGAAGTATTTTGAGGAGCAAAATGGCATATGAGCACTAATGATTCCCCGTTTGCTGATAAGCTTAAATATTATCTGTATCTTCCTATCCTTTCATAGTCTGTTTCTGCCTCTTATATGTAATACATCTCACTGAGCTGGGTGAAGTTTCCTCAGTATTAAGGTACCACTGTGTTACAAGGCTGGGATAAAAATATATACAGGCAGTTTTGGCATTATATATGTGCAGTGATTAAAATCTGTGAAGCAACTTAGGTGTTCTGATTGTTGAAAAAGACAGTGTCATGTTTTCGTCTTTTAGTTTATATTTATCTAGTAGATACAGAGCTTTCCTGTGGGCGTTTTTATTTTTCTGTTGCAAGATAGGAATATATACGTTGTTATTTGGTTTGTATTTTAAAAACTAGAAGTGCTGGCTACATTTAATTATACAAGCTTTTAAGTATCAAAAATATGGTCTGTTTTTTGTAACATAGCTTTACTTTATATTGAGGCGTATGTAAAAGTAGGGAAGAGGTGGTGCTGGGTTGAGGTCCTGCAAGATGCTGAAGGCAAAGACAGGATGTGTTAACATGTTGCAGGAGGTGAAAAGAGGCTGGTCAAGGGATTAAAGAATGCCAGTGATACAGTCTGAGCTGCAGAAGAATAAGTAGATTTTTGGCAAGAAACTTTTGCCTACATTTGAAATTTGGAATGAGCTGATTTATAGCGAGGCAGCAGAGGCCACTAGTAAATAATTGAAGCAGAAGATAACTGTGAAATGGGTAAATAACAGCAGGAGGTGGGTGAGGATGTTAAATATATTTCTTAGGGATGCTGTAGGAAAGAAAAAAAATATTTAACATCCAGAAGACAGTGGAACAATAGATGAAATTGTGTAAAAAGTCTGAGGTTACAAGCCTAAATGATCAAAAAGATAGTAGAGTTGTCTACTGTGACAAAGAAAAGACTGGAGAAGGCATTAAGACCTCCCAGATTTTTCTCATTTTCAGTGATGGGGTTGGTCAGTTTTGTGCTTCCAGCAAAGTGGAATGGTTTTCCTTTGGCCTTTAGTTGTTATAATTCATACTGTCAGTTTCTAGTATTGTGTCTATAGTCTGTGAGCGTTGGGATGGTGTTTCAAGCCTTCTTAGGTTGAAAGTGTCTCCTCTGGGTCAATTTCGGTGCAAAGAGAGAGTGCTTTTTCGTTATGTGAATATGAGCTACACTGTGCATCTTCCTGGTTATTTATCTTCATGGATAAATAGAAAGTAGATTTCAGACCTGTCAGTCAGCAAACTTAATGAGTGTGCTTGTAAAGAAGTAGAAAATGTTTCATTTAATGTGCACTTTTTTGTTGTGACTTTCTTGAATACAGGGAATAAATTGTAGTCATCTGGGTCAGGGAGTGTGTTATTGAGCTGTGCTGTGTCAGGAACTGTAAAGTCAAAATCTTGCCACTTATTGTGGCTGCTTCAGTTGCAGTGTTTGTGCTCATTAAGACAAATGAAAATGTTAATTGGGAAAGGAGGTGACTCCATAGCATCCTGTTAATAAATAAAATAAAAAATATTTTATTTGAGGTGAAGATGGTACATCTCTTTTTCCCTTTTGGAATATGGCTCGCTTGCCATACCCATTGGAGTCAGCCAGGTCATTCCAGTTTCCAGACCGTCTCCCACAGAGCCTACAGGGAAGACTTGTTTACAGCTTTGACTTTACCTAACTCTCTGATCCATTGCAACATGATTTTAATAGAAGTAGGACTAGATTATTTACGTATAAGATTATGTATAATTATGTTACAGCAGTGTTGGTTTGGGCTGTGTTGGTGTGAAGGAAAGCATGAGCTTCTCACTGGGATTTCACAGTTATCTCTTCAAAATGTGTGTATATTGGTAGGAGTGCCTCATTTTAAGGTGGACATGAGTAGGAAATGGGATTTCTGTGTCACTGCGAATAATTGGTGCCATCTGAATAGAGAGGGAGAAGGCTCGTTGTCATGGCAGCAGGAGATGGTGAGGTGTTTACTTGAGAGCGAGTTCTGCCCAAGCGTTCACATCAAGCCAGGCCTGAAGACCCATGTTTGAAGGACTGTTCTTAAGAGAGCCTGTTCCTCCTTTAAAATGTTTGCTGTTTTTCCCTGGATATATGGAAGAAGACTTTTTGAAAGCATAGCTTGGAGTGTAGCGTATGCTTTTATTTGGTAGTAATTCCCAGTAATGGGAAACCTACCTAGACTACAAATAACTGCATATGGAAAAGCCAGTCAACTATCTGCTGTTTTATATAAAAGGAGTTTGTAGTGAAGAGACTTCCTTTTAAAATGAATCACATGGTAACTTACTTTTATAATCTTTTAATATCTTTTCAGCTTTAAAAGATACTTGGTTTAAGAGCATGCTTTGTGATATTAATTTTATCTCACTGAGCTTTCCTTCTTGTATAAGTCTGTGCCGGGGTAGAAGAGATTATGAATTCTTGGGAATTGCTTTTTACGTGGTGTGTATTGAAAAAATAAAGTGTATGTTTGATATTCAAATGAGGAAAGCTGTTTTCTCAGAGTAAATATACTGTATATAAAAAGAACTGTTTGAGTGCAAAATGACATTAAATAGATGCTCGACTGCTTCTTTTAGTAGTTATCTTTTAGTATACTTTCAACTGCTTGCTGTCCAGAAAGGTCATCATTACCTAACTCAGCATTATAAAGAAAGTGCATGTGGTTGTATTAACTTCTGTTAGACTGTCAAAGAGCTGCATGAGCTGAAATGTCCGGTAATATTGTTTGCATTTCTTCACTCATGGATTTGGTTTTGATGTGCAGGTAGTAAATATAATGAAAACAGATTATTTTAAATAGTTATATTTCTGCAAGTGCATAATGGTAATTAAGGAGGCTAGAGGCAGTCGGATAGGAGTTGCATGAGGGAGAAGTTGATCAGTATTTAAGCAGGACTTGCAGTTTTTACACAATAGGAAAATCCAGTTGAGTCATTTTTCACATACCCAGTGCTGTTCATTGAAATTTAAATTAGAAAGGAAGACGTTTCAGTAAGGATTTAATACATCTGAAATCAGCTTTGCTTTCTGCTGTACAGCAGCTAGTCCAACTGTGTTGTGGTCCAGGGGTTGCACTATAGTAGTTCTCAGTTAAAAACAATATTGGTGGTAGACAGAATTTGGCACTTTGAGGCAGGTCAAGACCTTGAAAAAACAAATCTTTAGTCAGCACTCTAAGCTATCTACCTATGTTTATCTCTTAAATATTTCAGTAGTCTTTTAACCAAAAGAAGAATATGCAAGTTGTTACTTAGAATTATGCAGCATAGGAAATACCATCTTCTTACTGTTTCAACCAGCAATAACAGGTCAAAGATTGTTGTGAAAGGCTCCTTAAGTTAACAGGCAATGTCAGTGATGGTGCAAAACGCAAAATAAGACCAGAAAAGACAAGTAACATTACTGGATTTGTCAGATATTTGTAAACCTCAATGGCAAAACATATATTCATCATCTGTTTTTCTCACAAGCTTAAAAATTGAGAACCTGTGCCAATTTTTTGTACCACACTTTTCTAGTGTCGTACCTGATGAGTTATAGTTAACTCATTTCCTGTGTCAATAAGACCAACTGGCTGTGTTGGTAATTTGCCACATGTCTAGCACTGATAGTCCCTCATCCTTCCTCCTTCACTGGCTTCATTTGTTAGCTCAAATTGTTAAGTCTTATCATAAATTGGTTGCATAAGGCTGCAGCCAGCCTCTGGTGTCACTGCCCAAAGGATGCTGATTTTATTGGGTCTGGGGGCCTCAGGAATACATTTCCTTGCACGTAACCTGCAACTCAACTGGTCTGAATTCTCTTAGAAGCATTAGGCTTTACCAATAGTCAGATAATGGCTGTCTATATTAATCTTGAGGCTGTTTGAGAGTGAGGGAATGCAGACAAATTAGTGAGCTTAGGCTGTCCAGTTTGTGTCCCTACAGTGATCCTGTCTTCCCTGCACATCTGCTTCAGTTTCCTGTGTCAGACAATCTGGAGACTGATGAGTTCAGCAGGACCAAAGAAGGCCAAATGGAATAGGGTAGGAGGACACTGAAGAAATAGCAAAGAGGTAGTAATGTGGAAAGGTGTGGGCAGGATGCTAAGGTGTGAAAAGACAGGCCTTGTGTGGTTTGACCATGAGGTATGAGTGACATAATGGGAACTGGAGTCATGTGTGCTCTTCCTAGAGTCCTTGGAAGCTGGGGAATAGACTAGGGACCTCTGACATAAATTTCTGCTTGCAAAGCCACATGCCTATGAAGCCACTAATGCTGGTATTTTGGTATATATGGTAAAGCCACTAATGGTGTATATAGTAAAGCCACTAATGCTGGTATTATGGTATATGGTGTATATATATAACTTGTGGATTTTATGCATGAAAATATTGTAGTCATGAGTAATTTTGTTTCAGATCTTCAGATAAGGTCAGTTAATTCAGTTTATGAATTGACTGCATGTCTTGTAACTCTGACATCCTTTCTGTAGGATTTTCTGTCCTGTTTCCTGCTAATCTCCTCAGAGATTTCCCTTCTTACTATATCTTCTGTTCCATGAGTGTAGAATTTGGAGAGTAACCTGTCTATTGACCAGCTGGTATTAAGCCAGACATCATCTTTCTTAGTCTTCTGGCACCTGCCTTGGATCTGTTTTGCTTGAAAGTTGTTCCATTGATTTGTAAATGTGCTAAATGGCAGAAATTCTGGAGCAGGGAGCATCTTTGTTCTCTCTGGTGATAGTAAGTCTGCAAAGCTGAGCAAGAAGAAACATATCTGATGTATTGACCTGTGATTGCTGGTATGTTCTCTGTACGAAAGGCCCAGATAGGTACAAAGTCAGTTCCTCTTACTCTGCAGTGCTCAAAGCTTTCAAAAGCCGACCGAGAAAATCACAGCTGTGGTGTTGGAGAGCAAGCAAAATGAGCCCTGTTCTTTTCCCTGCTCAGCCAGGGGTAACTGCAATGGATGTCTGCAGTTTAAAACACATTGTTTACTTTTACATGCAAGAAAGAAATGGCCAGAGGGTTTGTACCTGTACATGGATTGTATTTGGGATTAATCCTTCCTATTGCTCATGTCAAATATTTAATTTTATTTGATGTGTATGCATGAGTAAGTTGACAAATAGTCATCCAGGTGTAGAAATTAAAGGATTGCTGAGGGTCATAAAAAAGGAGCATATTAAGTGTGTCCTGGAAGTTAGGTGTGTAAGTAAGGGCTCCTTCACTGTCTCTTTGCCTTGCAGGAAGAATGCAAACAAATACTGGCTCGGCAGAAATCCAGTTCCCAGTCTGATTCTCATGATGACGAGATTTCTCCTCCTCCTCCCAACCCGGTGGTGAAGGCCCGGCGCAGGAGAGGGGGGGTCAGCGCGGAGGTCTACACAGAGGAGGATGCAGTTTCTTACGTTAGAAAGGTAACGTGTTGCTGCGTGTCCCATTCTCAGGTTTGCAAGGCAACAAGGTGACTCGCTTGTGTTTTGTTCATTGTTTGGCATGCTTGGAGTCATGGGCCGGCCTCTAGGATTGTGCCCTTGTGCCAGCATATCCAGAGCATGATCATTTCCTTCAGGCTAATGTTCCTTTTCTGCCTCCTTTTTCTTCCTGCTGCATTTCCTGCTTTTCCCCAAAAAGTAATTTCTAGCTCAAATTTTCTCCTAACTTAGGTCATTCAAAACCATTACTGAACAGTTTTGTATATTTAAGCCATTCTTTTTTTCCCTAGACAAATATTATTCTTTCTTTAGTTTAAAAAAATAGGTTGCTTTTCCGACTGTTTGAAGAGGGGATGGATATGAAAAAGGGTTCTCTCAGTTTGGGAGATTTGAAAGGAGACCACCTAGCTGCCAGTACCTACTAATAATTTCTCCTTGAACTGTCAGTGGTATTTTATGGATATTCTTCTCCCCATTCCCCAAGGATCTTGTATTTTCAAGAGGTACAAAGAAATACAATCAGACATGTAATATCCCTCTCTTTTTTTTTTTTTTTTCCCATTTTTTTTTTCTCCCTTCAGGTTATTCCAAAGGACTACAAAACTATGACTGCTCTGGCCAAGGCCATCTCCAAGAACGTGCTTTTTGCTCATCTTGATGACAATGAACGAAGGTATGAGGTGTTTGATGGTTTAAATAATCTTGTGGCTTGACCTAGAGACAAGAAATTGTATTAAATTTTAATTCAGAAAGCTGCTCATAACTACTCTCATTCATGTGTTTGAGTCATGCTAGATGTCCCCCTCAACACTTAAGATAGAGTGTAGAATCAGAAGCTTAAAAAAATAGTACTTAACTGGTTAAAGGAATCTCATCTCGGCACTATTTGTAGTTATTGCTGAGAAGTCAAATAAGACAAGTCAAGTACTGGTAGAGAGGGAAACAAAAAGCATAATACTTCTAAAGGGGTAAAGGAGAATTGGAGATAATTCTCTTGTTTTGCTCATTGAAAAACTTCTGGAACAAACAAATTATGTTTAGGCATATGAAGGAGACCAAGGAGCTCAGTAACAGAACTTTCAGCAAACTTGAAAATGTCTTTCTACAGCAGAAGAGCAAAACTTGCAGATGAGGAATGTGTAATGGAGGCCAAACAACTTGTCTTTAGTGAGGTTTTTGACATTAGGTTTATGACAATTAGTAAACGATCTAGGGAAATATGATTTGAATGAAACCACTGTGGAATCTGTGCAAAACTGTTTGGATAGTTGTACACAAGAAACTGGCAGTGGTCTGTTGTTATAATGGAAAGACATTAAGGTGGTGTTTGTTTTGGGTCTGTTTTTTTTTATTATTTTTAGTAATGGTCTCAACGGTAGCATAGAATGTGATTGTTGAATTTGTAGATGACAAAAAGTTGAGAATATTGGGAGGAGACAAGAATTCAGAATTATGTTGACAATTTGGAGACATGATCTAGTAAAAATAGGATGGATTGTTGCTGCGCCGAGCACAGAGAGCTATACTTAGGCAGGAAGAACACTTGTATAACTATAAGAAACAACAGTTTTGATGGTTATTTGAAAAAGGATGCAGAGTTTATTGTGGTTCGTGGTCTGAGTGTTAGTCACTAATGTCAATCTGTTGTGAAAAAGGCTAATGTTTTACTGGGGTGACTAAACAGAAGAACATGCAAGACATGAGAAATGATTTTTCCTTTCTGGCTGGCTCTGGAAAGATTTCAGCTGGAACACAGTGTCCTATTTGAGGCATTGCACTTCAAGAAAAAACAGCTGGAGGAAGTTCAGAAAAGAGCAAAGGGAATGATAACAGATCTAAATAACATGACTTCTGAAGAAAGAGTGGGATTGGTTGGCCTGCAAAAGGAAAGTCAAGAGCAGAGGGACATGGTAACAACTTATAATTGTGTATGAATAATGGTAAATGAAAAGAAATGGAATAATCTGCTCTCTGTGCCAAGGTTGAGTAGGGCAAAGAACAACAAATTTAAATGCTCTGAGAGTCAAGGAAGGAAGAGCTCTCTCAATACTTAGATAGCTTGTGGAATCCACCACTTGAAGGCTTTGAGAAAAGATGAGACAATTCTGAGAATGATATAAGCAGCATTGGTCCTGCCTTGCAGCAGAGGGGTGCTGGTGTGCTGAGGTTTTTTCCAGCCCTGCTTTTTTGGGTTTCTGTGATTACAAAGAGCAAAATTTTTGTCTACACTGACATCTTATTAGTGGCCTAACATCAGCTATATAATCCTTCAGTGGGGCTGTTCATATGCTTTTAGTCAAGCACATTCTGAAGCATGCACGTTTTGCTCCCTCATGTGGGCATTTACACAGTCTAATTACTTTGAAATCCTAATTATTATGATATCCCATTAACATGCAGATTACTGGAGTAATTAGAAGGATATTAACATCACACTTTTTTCCGGCTTTTCCACCCACAACAGAATTCTTACACAGCACTGCTCTAAATTGTGTCTATACCATTGTGATGTTAATATGACAAGCAAGGGAAGAATAGCTTGTCCTTGGTGGAGAAGGGACATTTCAGTAATATGTCATCAAATATTTCGGTAATATATCATCAAAGCAGGGTGAGAGAGAAAGGGAAGAAGAAATACTTTCTTCTGTGCTGCGTTGCCTGTGCATCACAGGTGTAAGGGGCTCTGCAGCATTCCCCCTGTCTCGTTTATCTCCATCAGTCATATATTGGGTTATGGACGTGTGAGGGAAGGGAGAGGATGTGTCCCCTGTGTGCTGTAGAAGGGATGCAGGTTACTTGCTTTTGTGGCCCTCAGTTGCTGGGCCACGTGTCTGCCACCTCTGCTGTGGAAAGCTTTGGAAGCCTCTCAGTTTCTGGCTTCTTTATACCTTTTAGCTTTATACCGTCTTCTCCTTGCTCCAGGATATGTCTAAGTGCCCCATTTAACCCTGACAACAAGCAGAGCAAGCTGTTTAACCACACTGGAAGGAAAAAGGAACACGCAGAAAAACACAGGCATCCTGCTTTTGCAGGCGGACTTACAGTGAGCAAAGAAATTCTCAGATCTTACTAAACTCACTCCTGACATCAAGCTGCAGACCTTTGTCTGGACTTGTTTGGCAGCTAGGTGGAAGAGAGCGCTGTGATCGCTTCCAGTTGCCATCTGGTTGGTGCAGATACATAGTTCAGCAAAAAATTCGTGCATTTGGTGTTCTCTATGTGCTGTCTTGATGGAATGGTTGAAAACCTGATGAGAGTAGCTTATTTTCTGTGCTGCATTATTTTCTGTGCTGCAGAAAAGAATAAAATAATAATAATAAAATAATAATTTTCTGTGCTGCAGAAAATAATAAAAGAATTTTCTTTTAAGCCTATGTTTCTACCTCATGTAATTTCATGGTGTACTATTCTTTAAGATATAGACAATATTCAGGTGGGGTAAGGATGGACTAGCAGAGCTTAATTCCGCATTTATAATGGATGCCATTTATAATGGATTCTCTTCTCTGAAAAGATGCTTGCATGGCTGTGTAGTTCATGACACTTACATTGCATTTCTGCCTGATGGTTGTAAACATCCTTATGTCTGGCAAAAGCACTTATTTATCAAGGTAATGTGTGCAATACATTATTTCCATGTCAGATATTTCATAATGTTGATTAACTGGATAAGAGGTCGTGCTAAAGCTCAAGTAAATGAGTATCTGTTTGCAGCGGTGTTTGCAGTAGTTAAATTCAAGTTTACATTCAATCTTATTTTGGATAACATCTTTTCATGGTACCATGCTCAAAAAAGATGTGCCATTTATCATGCACTCATTCAGAATTTGATGTAAAATTATGCAGAAAAAGACCATGAAAGAGAAGGTGTGACTTTGGTACTTAAAATTACAGAGTTACTTACTCTACCACACAACTACTATCACAGTGTTCTTCTTGAGACTACTTATAGTGTAAAGGATAACGCAGCTCTCTCAAGGGATGCAGAAGTTGACTGTATTCTGTTTGGGACTTGGTATTGATTTGAATATTGACTAAAGTCTGGAGCAACATCCTGTTTTTCTCAAAGCAGTGGCATAGTGCCCACGGTCTTGAGTGGAAATGTGCTTTTAACTCTAAAAGGGCAGTTCTCACTGGCAAAATGAAGGATGCGTGGCTTTTTTTGCATACAGGCATCTGATGTATGTTTTATGTGCATCTTTAACTACTGCTGGTCTGGGCCCATATATGATGACCTCAGAATCTCCAATTTATATGTGTGTCGCAGACTCATTACCCAATATTTTTTTGAATTTGAGAGAAATACAGCAAAAAGTTAGAAGCAGTACCAGACCTTCACAAAACCCCTTTGTTGCTCTGCTTTAGTAGGTGTCCTTTAACTTTGACTATATATTAGAATAACACACATCTAACAAAAGCACTGGGCTGTATTGCAAAAATTTCGTGAAAACAGTCATGGGGTGACATCTAACATGTGAGATCTGAGAGCTGTGGGGGGAGAGGGTTATTTGGGGAGTGAAGGGCTAAATAGCTTACATATAGCTTGAAGAGTTGCAGAGAGCACATTGAAATGTGTCAGTGTGTCTTTCCTATAGGCTTGTCCTCGTTTTTTCCCTTGTTATTTGTCCAAACTCAGTAACTTGTTATGGAAGCCTCCTGGCTGGGGTTATGTACACATACTTGGATTGGGTTTGCTTCCCTAGCTGGGGAATGTGGTGAAGTTTTTGTGGCCCTGCTGCCTTGTTTCAGGCTTCCATGCATCTGTTTTGCAGTTGAGATGTATCTAATGCCCAGGAGTTGAGCTTGATTTTGGTAATTCCGCCATGCTACACATGCACACGCTATACAGGCCTGTGTGCTCTAACTCTTTCTTCTCCTGTCCCTGACCCCACATGGCAACTTAGTTCCCTTGATGTAATTTTGTGTCTCTTTCACTTCATGACTTCACTCAAAAACTCTTAGAGACTGTTTGGAGAGTTTCATTAGTTGGGAAGTGAAGCGTGTTGGTTAAACTCCCATGTAAGGGCGGAAAAGTTTTTTGGAAAAGTGTAGTGGTGTGGAAGCATCATGCAGATGCTATGGAGGTGAGGATCAACAGTTTTCCAAGGTAGAGAGTACCCTAAAACCCTGCTAATTAAAATCACTGCAAGATTGGCCACTTTGTGCCTGCTTGGTCCTGACCTGATGCTCTGAGAAACCTCATTTACATGTGCACAGTCCTTCAAAACAGATTGTCTTGGGCCAGCCCTGAAGGAGATGCTTGCAGTGCAGAACAACAAGTGGTTCAGATGACAGTGCTGTGCAGGATGTGTGCTCGGAGGAACTAGCAATTGTTCTGCAGTCCGTTCAAGGATGAGCAGCCTTGAGAGAACATGTCAGTGGCCCTGGACCTACACCCAGGTAAGATGTTTTTGTGCTGTCTTTCATTATCTTGGGCAAAAATGTAATGGCAGCTTTAATTGTGAGGGATTTTTGCGTTATAAACATCAGGTTAGTTTTTATAGATTATGTCCCTTGCAACAAATTGTCTTTAAGTTCAGTTGGGTTTGAAAACCACCTTGTTTCTCACCGCTCCCTTCATTCCACCTGTGATCCTGCATGAAAGCCCAATACAAAATAAGCAAATACAGATTCTCCCCCCAGTGAAAAGAATTCAAAGATGAAATTACAGAA